CAGCTGCCCAGGGCGGGGCACAGGCCTGGTGCAGGTCACTGCCAACGCTGGGGGAAGCCACGCAGAGCTCTCCTCTGACGATACCACCCCATCCTGCACAGTCAGACAGGACAACGCACTGACCGCTGACTCCTGCTGCTCTGATAGCTCCAGGGGTCATGGCACCCTCCCCGTACCCCAGGCTGTGGAAGGACCCAGGGGATTCCCGCCAGAGATCATACAAAGATGCCCGTGCTTCTAAAGTCTACTGCTGAGGTGAAGGTCCGCACCTCTGGTCTTATGACCCAAAGTCTTCACCCATAGCCGATTATTTACTGAGCCGGACAACTTCGAGCCTCACTCACTTGAGAAATTATATATAAAAAGATAAACTATATAAAGGTCCTTCTGTTAAGATACACTAAACCATGACCCACTTAGAAGTTCTCACCTAAAGTTTCAGGCCAGCCAGTTAATTCATTAAGTACAAAGGACACACACGGACTTGTGTAAAGAGATACAGTTAAGCGAAGAAAAGATAGCGTGTATTATTTACTGCGGGTGTGTGTCACATGTCAGGCCAAGGGCTGCAGCAGTCTGCCATGCCCTTGGGTCGTAGGACAAGTGTGTTGGTAAAAGCATCCAGCCAGCTCTCCCTCTCTCTCTCTCTCACACACACACACACACACACACACACACACACACACACACACACACGCCCTCATGGAAACGCCATGGATTACAGATAGGAAGGGAACGGGGAACTCGATAAAACTCCCCTGTCACACAGGCTGGTGTGCTTCTTCCATGTGGGCTTTGTTGCTTCTCAGCTAGATGGCCGCTTGTTTATTTCGGGCCTTTGAGACCCCAGATGCTATAGCTTTTGATGGCTGGGCACCATCAGCTTTCTTCACAGTCTTCAGTGATCGTGTTGGGAAGGTGGGCATTATGGCGTGCCAGTTTAGTAGAGCAGAGTGTTCTTGCATTGAGGGAGTATCTGCTACCTTAATACTAAACCTATGAGTGTATGCATGTAGATCTGTTTCCCCATCATCATGTATAAATATATTTGCTTGTATACATCTCTGTATTTGGACCTCTATAAATGCCCTTTGCCTCTTGGTTCCTTCCTCTATTTCCTCTTACTTCCTTCTTGCCCCACTATTATGCTTCATGTGGATTTCAGTAATTCCTCTTGGTTGCATTGCCCTTGATCAAGCCCTGCCAGGCCTGAAAAAAACCCCCAAAAAACCCCTCCCCCGTCATCATGCTGCCTCAACAGGAAACGCAGCAAGGACGAGGACGAGTGCTAGCACCCGGCCAAAGGATGGCCCCGCGATGTCCTGTCACATCTCACCCCACTTCCCGAGGGCAAGCAGGACAGGCCCCGAGGAGTTTTCTGGGACAGCAGACCCCTCCAAGTGGGACCCTGACTGCAGGAGAGACTGGCACCTGTTCTGTCTGGAGCAGCAAATGGAGGGAAGGGACTCCTCCAGGAGCCGTGTTCCCTCAAGGTAGACACGTGAGGTTCTCGACCGTCTGACTGACCACTCGTGTGGTGGGAGTGGGGCCCACCAGAGCGTCCACATGGCACCCATCTTGCTGTAAGCTCTTTGGGACCATGTGGGCTCCTAATGGCGCCCCTCCACCAGAGCACCACAGCCATTACACAGAGGTGGGGTGAGGAATTCTCGGAATCCACACTGGATCCTGGCAGGAAACCACCACCTTAGCACAGCAGGACGGCACATTCTCACGGTGGGACCAGGAGTACAGCACATCCTCTGGGACAGGGTTGTGCCGAAGGTATGCACTTACATGTCCTTGGGGACAGACAGCACCTTGGTGAGGGAGGGAGCTGGGAAACCACAGGAGACTCCTTAGGAATGGAAGCAAGCTTGCACAGTGCCCTGCTGGCTCCGTGACCCTGAAATACTGGGATTACCGCTCAGGTTGGTGGGCAGTTCAAACCCCACAGCCCATCCAAGGGAGAGAGACGAGGCCAGCTTGGAAACCCGACTACAGGGTCTCCATGACTTGGAATCGACTCGGGTTTGGTTTGTCCGTTTCTTTGGTCACAGTCTGTGCGAATTTCACTTCATGCGGCTTCTCTCTGCAACTTTGGGCACCAAATACAAAGCTACAATCAGCACGGTCAAATTGTGTCTCCAGGAGTCTGGGCTTGCCATTTATTTCCCAATGGTTTTCTTGCCACTTCCCCTCTAATAAGCCCAGCAAACATGCCCTGAAGCCACCGATAAAAGTGGTGCTGGTGTGGTCACAGACTCCTGGCACACACCTATTGTGTTAGACAGCGTTCTCTAGAGAGATAAAACCAAATTGCTGATAATATATAACAAGGAATGAACTGTTAAATCATATACAGTTAAATATATAATACAAGAAAGAAACAGTTAAATTATAAAGCACTACAAATGGCTCAATTCAACTCACTGCCGTGAGAGACTTGTGAGAGGCTAGCAGTCCTTCAAGTCCAGTCTGCTGCCAGATCTTCCTCTATTTATAGAGAGAGCTAGGCTATGTCAGCACAGCAGCCAATCAGAAGGCAGGTCACCAACTGCCAGTCCCCAGCTCCAGCGATGTCTTAAAGGGACCTCAACTTACAGTGACACACACAGGCTAGGTGTCCCACAGGTAGTGTAGCCTTTAAATTGAGGCACAGGACAAGCAAAGCAGCCGCACACTGGTCCGATGATCACAGAGCGAGAGACAAGAAAGGCGAGACTCACCAAGCCATTTATCTCTCTGCCCTTCAGTTAATCCCACTTGTGTTTATCGGCCAGGCTGGCACAAACTATCTCACCTATTCTGTTTGACAGTACTCCTTCCACCCTGGCCTTAGAACGGAATTTAGGCCTCATGCACTGCCCT